CCCCCCCCCTCCTTTTTGCGGGGATTAAGCGGGAGAGGCACGATTTCACCGGGATTTCATCGGCGATCGTCTTTCTTCGAGGGAGGGAAGATCGCGCGTCGTCGGCGCCTCTTTTCTTGCCGCGTTCGGCTACCGTCGATCTCGAAGTAAAAGCACCGAGTCCTTCCGCTCTTCGTTAATCCAGAGGACAGAGGAAGAGGGGAAAGGGAAAGAATGACAGAGAGGGGGGAAGATCTTTCTCTCTCTCAGTCGCCAAGTTTTTCACCCTCGCCCCCGGCAAGTTTGCGCTGAAAACTGCGACGTTATCGTCGTTTTGCGGTCGTTTCGCGGAGAAAGAAAGAGAGAGAGACCGGCTCCCGGATTTCTCCAGGTCCGTTATTAATTAACATTGATACGGTTAAACGGCGCTGCTCGTCCTCTTATTATTACTTAATTATTACTCGGGCGACTCTCGCGCCCGAAATTTTTCAAAACGAGCGAAAAATGTCATCAAACGTTCCGGTGATTCCCGTATGAATCTTTCATGTCTCGCTCGCTCGCTCGAAGTCGCATTTATGCCATCTCCTATGCGCGCTTCAGCCACTTGTTAATGGAATATTTATCGCGGCATAGCCACGTGGACATTTCCCAGGCAACGTTGTCGTGCGTTCCCGTGAATAGTCGCTCTCTCGACAGTCTCGTCGGAAGCCTCCTCCTCCATATTTTATATTCATAATTATTTATTGCCTTGTTTCCGCGCGTGGACACGTGCTCGATTTTCGCCATTCGCCTGCCATTTTGAACGATTCGCGCAGCTCCCGCAGACAGCGGCGAATGAATGTAGCGTTTCGGAAAGGTGGCGCGAGAGAATCGGCGAGTCACGACTATTGATTAATTCAATGAGCACACACGGAGATATAACGAGCGGGTTGCTTTTACATTTAGAGCGTGTTAAGAGAGGTAATGTCGGTCCTTCCCCTCATCCGTGGCTTCTCTTTATCGTCCGCTATATCCGACGATACGATCACCGTTATTCGCGCTCTCGGAGATATCCGATTATCGACAAGCGCGTCACGCGAGATCGTAAATACTCGCCTAAACGCCGGCGGCGAAAAGCGCGCGACCGCGGAAAGTGGCAACGCGGCTGTTTATACGGCGCGGTGAGAAACGGAATTATACGGTGGTGAAGAAACAGACGGGCCGGGGTCTTCTCGCCGGTCCGCACACACAATCTGACAATGGGGAATGCGCCCACCTTCCTCGCTTCTGCCACCTTGGAGAGGAGAGCGTGTTGTACGTGCGATACCATCGCGGCGAGACACGCGAACTTGGATTGTTTCCTCGTAGGAGAAGGAGGAAGGAAGCGAGAGAGAGGGGGCGAGATGGATAAGATGACTCGCCGTCGTGTGATGGTGGAGGACTGAATCTCTTTTTCTCTCTCTTTCTCTCTCTCTCGGGAAAATGGCGATAAATCGCGGATAAATCTGGCGCGCGCGCTCACGCACGGTATTTATACCGCTCGATTTCGCGCGAATCTCGGGCGACTTTGATTATCACGTTACACTGAGAAATAGACGCGGTTAGATCGGCAAGATCGGCGATCAGCCTCATTCAGAAAAATATTGCCTCCATTGAATTACGCGTTGGCGCAACGCGTTGACACAGTGGCCGATCGAATCGCAAATCATTGAATCAATTGATAAATTCGTCATTGTAACCGTACACGGTGGAAAATTTTGTGTTAAATTTTTTTTAACACATTTCACATATCCCAAATGATCCATCAAAATTTTCGTATTAATTTAACGTTAGAGGAATATGTTGAAGAGTAACGTAAAAATTATGCCGGAAATTGACAAAATATGTAACACTTTGGCGCTATTTGGAAGCAAATTGTCAAATTGATATATTTATAATATCAAATATAATAAATGTTATCTTCGTACATAAAAAGAAATATTATTTCTTCGCTTTGATCGCATTGTTCTTAGAATATTGTCAATAATTTTGTTTGAAATCTTCTTAATTTGTGTGCTATTCAATTGATTCAATCAATATCATATTTAAAAAAACATGCTTACCGCTGACAAGATTTGAACTCGGGATCTTAAGCGGTATCGCCAATGAGTATTTAAGCTTTAAATTTTAAGCGTAAAAAATTGACTAATCCCAATCGATTATTCTTCTCACATTCGACTGCGATTGGTCACTTTCTTACGGCTTGAAGCTTAAAGCTTAAGTCTCACGTTTTAAATTCTCATTGTAGACACCGCTTCAAATCGCCTACTTTACATATTATACTACTTCTATGCTCTAGTTGTATATACACTTCATATTGTTTAAGATGACGATCGTTATTGAGGGTAATTGACACAATTAGTCTGTAAATTTTTCAACGTGCAAAATATGTCGCCAATAATATTCCATAAAATTAACATCCATATGCTAAATTGACATTGAAACATAAAGTGTGTTATCTTAGCACTTAAAAATGTTATTTTAACACTTATACACGTTTAATATCGACTAAACACGAAATATTGAGATAACACAAACGCAATACGTTAAATATAACCCACGGAGATGTTAAAAATTTAACACAAAAATTTCAACAGGGATCGATTTTGACATAAAATGTTTTTTACCATATATAATTTAATCGACGGATTAAACTAAACGTTATGCTTGAGAAAATGTTTCGTTTAAGCAAAACTTTGTTCGTTTGGTTCCATCGTTCTTTTTTTCTCTCAGTGTGTGAACTTACCATTGCGGGAAACTTTGTTGAACTATGGCACTTTATTTCTCTCGGATCTCGCGCGTTTCTCGTCTCGCGTTTGAGTTCAGGCACACGGTGGCGTCGCTCGATCCGAAGACGGCGTGGCTAACAGCCGCGTCAGGTTCGATTCCTACGGGGAGAGTGTGTGTGTGTGTGTGTGTGTGTATATATATATTACCGGTAAGTAACGATCCGGGTGACGACGTATCGCGGAATATTATGTTTCGCGAGATTATAGATTACAAACCGACTTGATACGCGGAGCGTATCACATCGACGGGAATGCAGCCAGCGACTAAATTATCCGAGATAAGTAATTATAGTCGTAAATGTAATTCAGCGGCGGAAGGGTAAACGTTTCAGAACGACATGCGAATTTATGGCGTCATTCGCGCGGCGCACGTGTGGCGACACGGTCTACGTGAAATTTCCACGAGTGTGGAAATATAGGGAGACGGGGAGAGAGAGAGAGAGAGAGAGAGAGAGAGAGAGAGAAGAGGACTCTCTCTCTCTGACGCCGAGTATGCTCTCGGCGTGTCCGACGTCGCCGCAATGATTTACACCGGCCGTCATGTTGTTTTTCCGACGTGACGTGTACTATCCTCCGCCGACGTTCAGTCGAAAATAGTCACTCGCTGTGGGATCCCTGATCCTTTGATCGCTGACGGATCCACGACATAATTCCCCGCTCCCTTCTGCCCCCTTCCCTCCTCCAATCACCGTGCTGGGTTCGACGGTCGGGTTTATACGGGCAGGGATTTTAGCAGTCTACCGCCGCGCTTGCCGGTCGTAGGATCAGCGAAACGAGTCAGGGGTCGGCCCCAGAATCGTATGCTAATTTATGGATATGGTTTAATGGCGATTACTGGCTCCGATAACACCGCCCCGCAGTCGTAACGTTGTGACAGTATCAATTCCACGCGCGGCGTCCAGATTGACGTCGCGCCGACGCTCCTTCGCTCGCTCTCTCGCCCGTTCCTGGCGATTGATACTTTCGTACACGCGCGGGGGGCGCTGTTTGCAACGAGTTCTCGAAGAGCGCGGATATAAATATTCTTCGCGAAAATGTCAGAAATCGCACAGGATGTCAGACGCAAGCCATCCGTTGTATACGTTGTAGTTTAGGACAGTGTGAGCAAAAAATTCCTCTATTATTTGGCAATTTAAACATTTTTCTATTCAATTTTTAACATATTGTGTTTATGTTATCGCAATATTTTGTGTTGAGTGGATATTCAACGTGTGTAGGTGTTAAAATAATACTTGTTGAAGTAACAAATCCTTATATTTCAGTGTTGGTTAACATATTATGAATGTTAGTTTTGCGTTAATTTTTGACATGATATTTGCGTTACTTTTCAACATATTCACATTGTGTCGAATTAACACAATAATTTGCATGGATCGTTTGGTACGTGTGAAATGTGTTGTAAATTTAATATAACAAAATTTTTTTACTGCATAGTTGTTTGCAAAATAAGGAACAAATAGAGCACTTTCTTGTTCACATTGACTTAAACAAGTATTTGACAGATGGGATGGTTTTCGTCTGACGCTCCGTACGATGGCGAAAAGATGAAAATCCCCGCGGATCAATCGCTGTG